CTGTAATCATTGTTTTTGTTTTATTCCGCGATTTCAATGGTTTCGAGATACCTGAAAAATTTGAGATGTGATTTTGAGACGACATCTCGCAATAGATAAAAAACAAGATTTTCTGGTTTTTTTTGTCTTGAAATTGCCTAGTTTTTTTTCGATGCTTTCATGATCTTATAAGTTTATAGCAAGCAACTTATCAGTGTTACTGTAACAGTATTACTAATAGAAGTAGATAATTTACATATCGTTTTATAAAAGGAATGGACTCAGGAAATAGAGGCTCCTGGAATGCAGCTACGAATGCCCCCAGTGTTTTAGACTAGCTTATTTTCTCATGTTATTTCTCTTTCAGTTGCGTCATTTTTTGAAATGATAATATCATCAATAATAATAATGATAATAATAGTGATAACAATAACAGTGACAGTAATAATGATGGTAATAATAATGATAATAATAATAACTATATTGTTCCTATTATCGCTATGACTGTGTGCTGGCGAACATGGCGCAGAACGAATTAGCGCCATTTATCGTGTTTGAATGAACATTGCCGGAGGGCTTTTGTTGCAAATATTTTGGTTGGAGAGGAGAGGGGTGGGGGGGGGGAGGGAAAGGGAAGGACGGGGTCGTTTATTTATATGCCAGAATTTTACCCAGTATCCGTGTAGTAGTATGTTTTTCATCAAAATGCAAAAGTTTGTGAATGCAGCCAGTCAGTCAGTTAGCCGGTTGGGAATTGCTTGCTTTCAAGAAGGGAGTGCTTTAGCGCTGATATTAAAATCTCGTGCACCCCAGCAATTCACATGATGTATTGTGCTCATTTCATAAACTTTTGGTTAAAATTAAAGCCTGGAAAGGGGAAATTCCAGTGCCAGTTCAGAAATCAATAAATTATTGAAGTAGCGGAATTAAAGCAAGTCTATAGTCGCATTGATAGTAATAATAGCGGTAGTAATAATGATAATAATAACAGTAATATTAGCGATAGTAGTAATAATAGTAATCAGTAATGATAATTAGTGATAGTAGTAATTAATAATAGTGGTAATAATAGTAATCAATAATAATTAATAATAACAGTAATTAATAATAGCAGTAATTAATAATAATAGTAATTAATAATAACAGTAATTAATAATAACAGTAATTAATAATAACAGTAATTAATAATGATGGTAATTAATAATGATAG